AGAGGATTTGGTTGGAACGTCTATATAGAGTTCCTGAACCCATTTGACATTTCTACTCAGCAATCCACCTAACCAAACTTATGTCATTTGTCCCATATTGCACTTGAAAAACGAATGTGTTGACCAACCATCAGAATATAAACTCTCGATTTTTACCGGATACCTTATTCACCATACTCGAGGATTTATCCACATTATTGGCCTGAAACATGATAGGTGTACACAATCCTCAATGAAAACGGATTTCAAAACTGTGATTCAAACACCTGTTGCCTTCTGTTTCAAGTCCAAGTGGCCTCAGAAACCCGATATCCTAATATATTAACTCACCACCTTATTATCTTATATTAACCGGGCCCCTGAGTAGATCCCTTTGGAACCCTAGGTGTGGGAATATATCGTTTTATTTATACACTAAAAATAAAATAAAACACCCCTCTCAACCTTTTAAGTTATAAGCCTCACATAATGCTGAGATTGCATCTCACTAAGTTTGGTGCTTAATTGTGTTCTAGTCGATGCCGTGACAGTGAGTTATGCTAGTTACGGTATTTTTGTTTTCCTTTTTCTGCAGTCGCATCTACTAAATACACACATTAGTTCTTCTCATTTCTCCAATGCACCTTTGCTTACAATAGTTGCAGATGATATAGTAAACCTCCGCGCAATCCACTTTGCTCGCTTTTCATATTGCACGAAGTAGGGAACCAACAGTGGCAAAACAAGCTAACTATCCAGAGGTTAAGGTTTCTTAAAGAATCATCATGAAATAAGGAATCAACTTTGCGGACAAAACTACAAAAATGGAATAAACATGCATTCGATTAGGGGACTTCGAATGCTTCCCCCTAACGGAAAGTAGCATACTAAAATATAATATTCCTTAACTAAGATGGACACCGACCTACTTTATGTAAAAAATAATTGTGAAATGCACCAAACATTAGAGAATGCCTTATTATGATTCTTAAACAGCCAAAAAAAGCCTGTGGACTAAAATTCGTACGGAGTTAAGCAGGGAAGTAGAACATTCTATATGTGCACGACAGTAATTTATTTATAGTCATAAAAATCTTAATAATCGAGCTCAACGAGTAATCACGTGCAGATATTATAAAATGTATCATTAAATACGATTCAAAATGTACAGAACTTAGAATGCAATAGCATAATCGTCCTATCATCATTTTGCAGGACATTACCTGTTCATGCATACCGGAGCATTTAACCGATATAGATCCATATTTTCCCATGGATGCTCCAGGTGCAACTCCACATAGAACCCCCATATCGGTGCAAGTAACGCATAGAAGTCCGTTTTCGTATAGGATTTGGACAGCTGCATCAAGTAAAACAGCGGCACTGCGGTATGGGTCGAGATCAACCACGTGAGACCTGAAAAGAATTATAAATTGCTAATCAAAGTAAAAATGATCACATGATACATAATATTGGCAAGTACTTGGATTTCGCTTCGGAAAACCTATGCATCAACGCAAGGGCATCTGAGCATGTTGGAGTGACATTAGTAACATTATTTTCCAAACAGTTAGTTCGTATCAATTCAAAAGCCTGCTCATTCATATTGTTAGAAATGATCCCCCTGATATATGGAACTTCTCTAGAAAATCGTATAGAGCGCAACCCGGAAGCAGCTAGTGGTTCCAATATTCTGATGCCTTCGTAAGTTCTTGGTCCCTGAGAGCAAAATTCTAAATATCTATAAAGAAGTACTTTTGTAGAGACAAATATTTTTTTCTATCCACTCAGCGCGATAACGCTCTTCAAA